AAAATTAATGGCAAAGATATATTGTCAAGTTAATTACTTTTCAGCCTTAGCGAAACCATCAAGAAATGAATTACTGTAAAATATTTGGAATTCCCTTGAAATTAATTTTTGCTATTTTCGCTGAAGGAATGCTTCAGTGAAAATAAAATCCAGCGAATGTACCCTTTTCTCTCTATTTTATATACAACTCGTCAAAAATCAGTGAAAAAAAAAATCCATACAAAACACCCAGAATGTTGTTTCAGCAAAAATTAATTCCAGCTAAAATAAAGTATTTATAGTACTTTTTGTGTAACAAATATGATGTAAATTTTCATTCAAATTATCAGACCATCAAAATAACAATTCCACATAAACAACACAAACAATGCTGACTAATCAAAGAAAAAACATTTCTTACTTTTTGAGTTGAGCACCAAGACCAAATTTTTCTTTATTTGACGGTTGAAATACTTCTATTTTTGGTTCTGGAAAAAAATGAAAGTGATTACAGGCATTGACACTGTAGCCATCATACTTATCATTGAAGTGTACTTGTAGCTAGACAAGGATCATTGGTTTAGGTCTCCTGAATTTATCAATGACATATACCACCAATAATGTAGTCAGTAATTCAGCAACAGAAATGCCATCTCTGCATCCTTCTTATATTTATCATCAGAAATTAATTTAAAATATTCCTCTGTAGATGTATGGATCTCGAACAGAATCTTACGATAAGTTAAAATGTGACCAATCTTTTAAGTGCATGGCTTTGTCTTGTCAAGGCAAATACTTCCAATACTGTGGACCAATCAAATAATTACACTTACCTGTGGCATCTAAATACCGTGACAAAGAACAATGTAATCTGACAACCACCGGTTCATTACGATTCACTTTCCATGCAATCGATATCTCCTCCTATATAAATGATAAATCCTTAATTATTAGTGTAGAGAGAAAGAAAATACAGAAATTTACAACAGGTCAATAAAGACACTATCTACATTATGGATTAAACATTACAAATGAAGTAGAATGCAAAAATTGAAATGATATTATGTACAGCAATTCTACTTGCATACTCACATCAAGAAATGAGACATCAATATTGAGCTCCACATCAATGTCATCAATAGCACCAAATGTTCTGAAAATAGAATATAAATTTATAATATTCACACACAATCTAAAAGGACTTTGTATGGTTTCACTCACTAACCTAGAGGGACCATGTATGGTTTCACTCACTAACCTAGGGAGACCTTGTATGGTTTCACAAACTAACCTAGGGGGCATTGTATAGTTTCACTCTAACCTACGATGACCTTGTATGGTTTCACTCACTAACCTATGGGGACCTTGTATTGTTTCACTCACTAGCCTACAATGACCTTGTATGGTTTCATTAACTAACCTAGAAAGACCTTGTATGGTTTCACTCACTAACGTAAAGTCACCCTTTTATGATTTCACTCACTAACCTAGGAGAACCTTGTATAGTTTCACTCACTAACCTAGGGAGACATTGTATGTTTTCACTCACTAACCAAGAAACCTCCTATAATTTACTTTACTATATTCTAAAGAGAAAAAGTGGGAAATTATAACAGGGAAATACCCTCTTGCAGTTGGAATTTGACTTTTTTGCTGGTTAGAATCATTCAAGGTTAAGAAATTCTTCTCTTGGAGAGAACCAACTGACATGATTCTAATCACTTTGATATTGTCAGTGAGAAAATAATTCCAATCAGTATTCTCTAAACTTGGGGAGTCTCACACTTTTTCTCAATTAAACTAAGGGAGCTTGTGTGTGTATATTAACCACATATAGATTGTATACAACAACCTGTATAAAAGCATCACTGCATGTGAAATTTTACAATATGTGAAGAATATGTTACAAAAGAGCAATATCAAGCATATGGTGTGAAGATTTTCTGAATAGAATAAATAAATAAATAAATAAATAAATAAATAAATAAATAAATAAATAAATAAATAAATAAATAAATAAATAAATAAATAAATAAATAAATAAATAAATAAATAAATAAATAAATAAATAAATAAATAAATAAATAAATAAATAAATAAATAAATAAATAAATAAATAAATAAATAAATAAATAAATAAATAAATAAATAAATAAATAAATACAGAACTCAGAGTGTGTCAACACATTCAACCAACCTAGTATTTATAGCTTGGTCTCCAAATTTCATTCGGACTTGTTCGATATCCAACGATAAAACTGGATTTGTGTTTATCTCCTCATCTTCCTCACTGACATATACCTTGATAGAAAACAGTATGTGTTGTTATATAACATTTTTGTACAATTATGACGAACACGGTCTGAGTTTGAAAATGGTGAACCTCTGGGTATGAATGCCATAATTTTTTTCATTTTACCATAAATTTTGAAAATTAGGTTATTGTTTTCCGACATCGAAATAAAAATAGTTATTTCTGAATGTTTATTTTGAGTCATTTTAAGCAGCGATGACACCTGGGTCGTGCGTGGCACCATTTTGAATCACACTCAACTCATGGACGATGAACACAGTTTATACGCTTCAATATTCAATGGTTACATCATTTTTATTTTTAGTAATTCAATAAACTGCTCCCTCACCAGGCATTGCCTGCTACTACATATTATCATGTGCATTAAGTAAATATTCAGCGCTAGGAGCTTTGTTGGTGAAAGAATCTGCATTCAGCATTCATGTCATGGGAGCAGCCATTTTAAGCTCATTATCTATGCGAGTACTAGAGGGGACTTGTTACATATTCAAAATGGCCTCCATAATGAGATATTCATCTTTGTGACAAGAATAAGAAAGCTTCACGAAATTAACAAGTAATTAGCTAATTAGTCTTTACATACCTCAGCTTCAAAATCTTCTTCGTAGTCGTACAAATCATCAGTGTCCTCAACGCAGTCGCTATAATGACTGTCCTGAGTAATACAACAAATTAGTCATATTTTTTTATGTAGGCAGCTATTATGGGATATAACACAGTTATGAAACACTCTAAGCATATGAAATAAAGGTATGCAGTGTTCATAAATATGACCTATTAAATATGAGATGGTGAAAATATATTATCAGTGAAAATATATTATTTATATTGCCTTCGTTGCTATGGAACCCATATTAAGCACAGCACGCCATGACAACTACTGCCCATCAAAAGATTTTATAAGCATGTTATGTACATTCAATGCAGGTTCTGTTTATACACAGTCCCTCTATAGTCTATTGACGGACTGTGGTTTACAGTAAAATCTTGTAATCTTGACAAACACTATATGGTGACAGTAACTTACTTGTGATTCCATTGTAACATATTCAGGTCGTCTTTCTTCTTCTTGTGACTCCATGCTTACATCATTTGAAAGCAAAGACGGTAAGGAAACATCAAAAGTTTTCCACAAGCCTGCAGAAATATAAAATTTAACTTAAGATTTAAACATATTGCCGATTCAGTTACAAATTTACCCTTTTGTGTTGGGTGCTCTTATATTAGAGCTATCCATATGCCACTTTCTTTGGGTCAGAATATATCACTTTTATTTATTGACTTGAAGTACTTGATGTTTTTTAAAATGCAAGTTGATATGACAACAGCGCCCTCACTTAGTAACTTAGATTACTAGTACGCAAATAAAGCTGTTCTATACATGGCTGCCATTTTGGGATTTTTGATAATAATAATAATAATAATAATAATAATAATAACTTTATTGCATCCTTAGAATTACAAATGTTCTATTGGTTTACAGCAATAAATATGATGATATGATGTCTGCTGGTCAATCATTTTGAATACACAACAATACATACACAATACATTAATGTCAACATTTGTAACACTGATTGGACTAATACAACCCAGTTTGACCATGCCAACTGATTACTCCATAAACTTCACAAATTATTTACAATAACAAATTGCACTGAATGTATTTTGTCAGAGTGTACAAAAATTAGTTCATAGGATGTATGCAAATTTGTAGAATGTTTCTCAGCCAACTCAACAAATGAGTGTTGACTAAATTTGAAATATACATAAAAATCTGTTTTATCATTGAAAAGGCAAATCTATTTACTTAATAATAACAAAATGTCAAGAATGTATTTGTACTAGGATAATGATGCTGATCTGATCTGAGCAAATATCCGTCAACCATTTTGTTTAACATTAACAAAAATACTGCTACGGTATATTGCACTTAAAAGGTGTTTGAGTAAAATCACCATCAATTCACAGAAATGCTATCCTTAAATAAATGGTATGGTCCAGCTGAGGTCAAAGGTCAAAACAGTGTGCAGTGTAACTCACCTGCAGCCAGCTCAGTAAATATGTAAGGTATCCTCTGATTTTTTATTTTTGGTTCGTTTGGATTGTCTGATGTCAACAACATTGTATTATCTGCAGAGAAAAAAATTTGATTTGTTTTTATTTGTGAAGTTAAATTGGTTTACAACAAATTCTTGGGGATGGAGCTACTTCACACTATGTTGCTAAGACAAGCAACACAACTACTGATAGCCCAAAGTAGTAGTTTACTGAGGGTTTTCGCTCTTTGTTTTCATCTTTATGGTTGCTAGGTGGTAAAATGCTCAGATGTCCACATACAAAAATAATTCATTTCTACATTAAAGTGGGAGAGTTGTGACCTGCGCATGTGTCAGATGGTCATAGCATGCCATTGTTTACAAGCAAGTGTCTGCCCATGAACCTTTGCGTTTTTAACGTGTGTTGTTATCATCGCTTGGGACTCAATTTCTGCGTGTATGCAGGTGACAACCCTCTCGCCTATATATGCAAATAAAAATATGACCATTTAACTAGTTTATTCATAAACCTGTCATATTTTGTTGGTTTTACCATACCCTACCCTACATACAATGCATTGCCTACCCTAAATCTATTTTGGTAAAGGAAAAAAAATAGTGCAAAAGATTTCAATGAGACTTCAATGAAAAAACAAACTTTTATCCAGAATGTTGACTTAATTGACTTACCAAGGGGCCTCGTGAATGGGAGGGGGGGCTTCATGTGTTGAAAAAAAGCATATATACAAACATGGGTTTGTAGCAAGTTTTCTTTATTGAAAAACTCCACAGTTTCCATGTCCTCATGGATTCAACTCATTGATATTTATAGAGCTATATCAAAGGCGGATCGACAAGGAATACATAAAGTCCCGACTTGAAACCTCGTCAACACCTTGAGTCAGGCGGCTGTCACCCTATGTATCTCAATGATTGACAGACAGTAGGTTTTCTCCTCTAGCCCTTTAACGACCAATTAAATACAAGATGTAACAAAACATTAGTTCTTTTACTTCAAAACTGCTGGCAAAACACAGCAGAATTTTTAGGAGCAAGCTAAACATCAGTAAGCTATTGCAAATTGAATGTCTAATGAATAAATTTTGTTGTGTAAATTATATGCAAATTTATGTAAAATATATATAAATAATTAATACCTGGATAGTCATCAGACATGTGTAATGTAAATGAAATTTTTTTCTCATCCCTCTTGTACGTGAAGATAAATGTGTTTTCATTTTTTTCAAAATCTGTAAATAAAAGAAATATTGTCAGTCTCATATCCATGAAATCTGTACAAATTCAAAGTTGTGGGTGCTAGGGTATATGCAAGCACTGTAAAAGGATTCATTTTCTTGAGTATTAAATTTCATTATTCTAATATTTGTTTCATTTCAGATTTATCTGTGAAACAATGTGTTTTTTACTGGTTTGTTCAGGTGGATGTAAACTAGATTTAGTTCAACTGTGAAATTAAAACTTTGTGAATAAATAAATCATCTACAGTATTACAGAAGACAGTATATGAAGGTACAAAGGTATGTATAAATACAACAAGCCTGTTTGTTGACTACAAATTTCACATTACTTCCTCATTTTAATCTTATCATATTTTTATTTTTATCAATAATTTAGTGTATTTTTCGTAATTTATTTGTTAATTTTGGCAGTACTTCACTTGATAAAAAAACTACAGAGGAAATTACACATATTTATTTTAAAATTTTGTGAAAGTCCCTATGATTCCTTTCTTGTATTGTATTCTAGTGAAATCTACATTGTTTTAATATATTTCCCCCAGCCTCATGAAAATTTGTTTCTTAAAAAAAATTAAATCAGTTTACAAGTAATATGTTTTTACAGTTCATAGATTATATTAATCAAATGTAAAATCATGAAGACGTCTTTTCGAAAATGTTATCGTTATCTCTATCAAAATTATAAAGCTGGAAAGACGGTTACATCTCGCTGCGCCAGCGTCATAGTGGAGGATATCTGTAGCAGCTGACAGAACATATACCATGTCACAAGCCAACAGTCACACATGCAGTGTAAGATTATTGTGAAATCCAAGATTGAAGAAACTTTTCTGTAGAAATTAATTATAAAACCGCATGGTTATGGTTTCACAGATACTGAACCATGTTACGGATGTCAATGGAAGTACCAAATACAAGTAATGTTGGCCTATATCAGCAAAACCGTGAGTCAGAAAGATACTTAGATAATCCTAATAACAATGGCGACTCACAACCCATGAAGGCCATCACATTTATGCCAATGTTGGGGTATACTAAGAATGGGTTATTTGTGGTCTTTAGCATCTATAACAACACATTTTCATTTGGAATGGCTTCCATATTATTCCATTCATATTCAACAAAGATCTTAATTAAAAAATATCATGCTAATTATACTGGAGAAAAACTGAAGTGAAAGTTATGTAATTGCATTTTAAATAGTAAAAGATCAATCTAATTATTTCTATTAAGGTGTAATATTAAATGTGGTAGTCATTATTGTGTTTAGCATCGTCGCGGCCTTTGCTGGCACTGAACTTGAACTAAAGCATTAATGACAATAGAGGAAACAAAAGGCGGAAGTTTATTAATGACTACATGATAATTTAATTAAGTAATAAATAAAATCGACAGTTTTGTTAATAATGTTATGTTCATACTATCATTAGTTCATGACATGGTTAGATATTGTTTTTAAAAACATATTTCCTTAAACGTAATATCATGGAAGAAAGCTTGTTCGACACTTAACATACGACATTACGAAAAGACAGAGAAAACTACTTCCCCTGGCTTCGAAGTTATGACTCTATTGACTGATTGTAATTTTGAATTTTTGTACAAGAGATAGCGTGGTTTGTGGAGCTTATGACTGACGTGAGTCATAGCCAAAGTTGAATTCTGACACAATAATAATACGGCAAAACATGGTGACTGTAATCACCGATCAACATACCGCTAAACGGACACGTCGAATCCGCTCTACACGCGTCAACGACGCATTTCATGTCAGATTGCATTCTTCTGTAGCGGTGTGACATCTTGTAACTTCATCCAACTGCCTGTCGATTGATTTTCACGAAAACATCGAGACAATAATATAATCTCTCGACACCACTAGACCCAGGAATATTACCCGGAAGATTCACTCGAAAATTGAATTGCGCAAGCGCAGGCAATTGGACATTCGGTTTTCTATCTTCGTTTCTGCGATTCCGGGGCAGTGTGAAAATTAAACTAAACTACGAAACTGCGATGTTTTTCGAGTGTCAAATATGTAGAATAAAACATATTGCATTTATAAACTTTAACATTGACAATTAAAACTCAGAGTTGCACAAAATATATTGATAAATAGTGTCTCTTTGTTCTTATGGAAACTAAATATTTTAGTGTTGTGGCTTTAAATCATACAGCGCATGCGCTGAATAGCTCTTCACTTTACTAAAGCTGGATCGCTGGGGATGTTTGTTGAGGTTATCATGTTATTGCTAGACCGCTTTCTGTAGTCCCAGTTAACATTCTTCGGCGAATTCATCGTTTAATTCAATGATGTTCTAGCAGCTGTATTTATGATTTTGCTGGTTATATTTGATGCAAGTTTGGCGATCTTGTGAACCAAACACACAAGCGCTGCGACTATCCTTTCTGTGTGTTTTTTTTCCAAGATGGCTGGAGCTGTCGGAAGCAACCATCCTCTGAACGCAACTCCTCAGCAGCAACTTCAACAACATCAACAGCAACGCCCGAACTTGGCAATCGCCGCCGCTCCGTCTACGGGTGAACAACCCATTCCTTACAACTGGCAAGCTACCAAAACCACCGTGAAAGAACGCTTCACCTTCATGTTCAACAACGAGATATTGAGCGACGTGCACTTCATCGTCGGAAAGGGAATTCAGACTCAGCGAATACCTGCTCACAAGTTCGTCTTGTCCGTCGGCAGTGCTGTTTTTTATGCTATGTTCAACGGTGGCATGGCCACACAATCCGCCGAAGTCGAACTCCCGGACGTCGAACCCGCCGCTTTCTTAGCTCTCTTGCGTTTCCTGTATTCAGACGAAGTACAGATAGGCCCGGAAACTGTCATGACTACTTTATATACTGCAAAAAAATACGCTGTACCAGCTTTGGAATCAGCATGCGTTGAATTTCTAAAAAGAAATCTCAGCTCTGACAATGCATTTATGCTACTAACACAGGCTAGACTCTTCGATGAACCCCAACTTGCTGCTCTTTGCTTAGAAAGTATAGACAAAAATACATCTGAAGCCCTGAGTGCTGAGGGGTTTACAGACATTGACTTGGAAACTTTGTGTGTTGTGTTAGAAAGAGACACTTTGGGTATTAAAGAGTGCAAGTTATTCACTGCTGTGGTACGTTGGGCGAATGCAGAGTGCCACCGACAACAAATGAGTCCTACTCCAGAAAATAAAAGACTTGTCCTAGGCCACGCTTTAAAATTAATTCGGTTTCCCCTCATGTCAGTAGAGGAGTTCGCCTCTGGAGCTGCCCAATCTGGTATATTGACAGACCGAGAAGTGGTCAGTCTTTTCCTACATTTCACAGTTAATCCAAAACCTACAGTGGAATTTCCTGACAATCCTCGTTGCTGTCTCACAGGAAAAGAACAGACCATTCAACGTTTTCTAGGAATTGAGACACGTTGGGGATACAGTGGTACAAGCGACAGAATCAGGCAAGTTCCATTTGATGATGATGGTTGTCGTTGTTGTTTTGGTACATGAACATGCTTCTTTGATTTCATAGCATTGTACTCAATATGGTTAAAGGGTGGTAGTAGCCGCCACCACATGCGTTCAAATTCTGTGAAAACAAACACACTTAACACCTATGTGGAACATGGGACGGAAGCTGCCAATCCTTCGATGTACATGTATATATTGTTCACATAGTAACAAAATGATACGTTTGGGTCTGCAGGCAAAACATACAACAGGGATTTCTTGCAACTTATTTCCTGGTTCTGCTGTAAAAATGAATGAAAATGGTATGCGACTGTTATAGGTGACTTAAAGCACAAACAAAAATGTTGTTGTCCCTGATTTCCATTATTTTTACATTGCCATATTTAACCAGGTAAGAGCCCATGCCCGGGAAAACGCCCTCCCAATATTGATACAATAAAGAAATTGAGGTCATGCATACGCCCAGGGGGGTCTTTTTCTACACTTGTAATAAAAAAACTATTTTTTGTTCGTTGTATTAACAGTTGACTTCCTTGCAGTCTGTTGTGATTCTGATAACCATTCTTGAAAAATAATTGTCCATTGCGTAAAATGATAGGTGAGCGCAAAATAGCTGTGACAGCAAAATAGGTAATTTCGCATTCTGTCTTTAGGGCAGCGTGCTCACTGCTGTTTACATAATTTACATTTTTTTTTCAGGGGTTGTCTGGGCATAGGCCCACGCCAATTTTTGGCAATTTTCCATACTCTGGTCCCTGAGCTCTTACCCGGATAAATACGTTATAAATGTTTATAAAATATGAATTTTATTTTACCAAATTACTAATTCCATAATTTTAAATACCATATTTCCCTGGTCATATGCCCAGGGTCCTAAAATCCTAATTAATTTGTTTACATGTTCACATGCCATTCACGATAGTCTCGGTGGTGGATTTTTCGAAAGGGTAAAACGATGGTCATATTTTTTGCGTTTCGAAAGCTACTGATCAGAGATGTGGATTACTTCTGAATCAGTATTGCAATATTGGGTTCATCGTGAGTAATAACAGAACAGAAAAAAGTGCAAACTATGTTGTGTTGTTCGCCATTCACAGTGACATTAATGAGTTCACTTGTAAAAGCATAAACCAAGAGAACTACCATACCATTCATGATTTTAATGCAAAGAAAGGCCCCTTTTACATGACAATTTAACAAATTTTAACCCAACGTTGACGTCCGGAAACACCCTGGGCCTATAACCGGGGATGCCCTCAACTCATTAAATGTCTAGAAATAGAGAGCTGGACTTTACCACTTATGCCTAGAAACAGGTTTATGACCGGGGAAGTACGGTAGTAAAATGTTTTTCAAGATCACTGTATCAATGTATATATTTTCTGTTGTGATAATAACCTGTCAGTGAATCAGCACAACTAGTTGCATCACAGTAAATCATTGTGCATCAGTGGCGAGTCATATCAGCTTAGAGAGAGCACACTGTTCTTCTCTACTAATGTTCAACTCACTGTAGGGTACCTAAGGGATAATATTAAAATCCATTTGTAAATCAGCTATTATTTTTTTTGATGAATTGCCTCACTTGATTGTATGTCATATATGCTGTGTAGATAGAGGGCGCTATAAAAGGACATCTAAATAGCGAATTACAGAATTACATCCACAGCCCTCAAAGTTAAAGCAATCGTTGGACGTCGTTTCATAACAAATATTGAAAAAAATTAAATATGAGGGATAATAAAATTTGCACATGCAAAGTTTTGAACTGAGGGTAGAAAAGCGCCACCAAGAGCCAGTGGCGGAACCAGCAAAATGTATTGGGGGGGGGGGGGCTTTGCTTAACATTACGGAGCGAAAATCGAAGAGAAGCTATGCGTAATCCAGATGGCATTCCCCCCCCCCTGATCCGCCACTGCCAAGAGCTGACAAGCTGTCAAGTCTACTATGCGTGACAAAAGTTTTGTCGCCAGCCAGATTTTTTTAGGTCACCAAATGGCATTCTACATATTTTTTTAAATTGCCATTCATCAAGTGCAACTGTCATGATGTCATGTCCATCGAAATGGACACAATCTGGAGGACTGATCTTTGGGTTATAGTAGAAGTGTGTAGTTCGATCTGAAGGATGCTGTAGTATACTGAATTATTGAAGAATTAATTTTACTATAGTAACATCTCTGTAATTTACATAAACGTATGCGCTACGTTTAGAGCGAATAAGATAATGTGTACCGTATTTGCTCTATTAAAAGCACATACATTTTTGTAAAGGACAGAATCAGATCTAGAAATGGTCAAAATAAGCCGTATTTCAATGGTCTAGCATACAATAAATACAATTTCCATGTTCATGTTTATGTTCACTTTTATTGGACATGCGCTTGGAATAGAGGAAACATAGTATTCGTAATTACAGTTTTTTGAATCTGTCAACCAAGTACTACATTTAGTGACCAAAACTCATGGTCTTATACGGCCTTCCTATTCTCCAAGAATCGTAATCTTAAGTTCTATGCCAGAAATGTTTTAGCATCAACATGTAGCGTATGTTTCATGGCATTCCTGTAACCATAACAAGCAAACAAAAAAAAATACAGTTGTATGGTCAGGGATCTGCCCACGCTGGTCCCTAGCAACCGGCACTCAGAATTTCCGACCAGGACAAAAAGTTAGCGACTGGCACTATTCTATTTGTTTATGGTACACGCAGGATGTCGGCCACTGGACCATCATTCTATTGTCCTTGTTGGTTTTAAGACACAACACAATGCAAAAAAATAACACAACAAAACCTTAATGAAAGAAGACACCGCTGTTCAAAATCAACGTACACGTGTGACATTGACCTAATGTTCTTTTGTTTTAACCTCCGATTGACATTCTGTTAGTTTTAACAAACGAACCTGATCGGAATAAGTCGTACATCAAGATAATGGAAGGGAAGACGAGAAATATACAGAACGAAGGATTACCATTGCAAGTTTAGTTGTGTGTAGGATTTGCCTAGTTGAACAATAACTTGCTCACTTCACCGGCAGCGATGTGTCAAACTGTCGTTCGTTTAATCTGCACTTGCACTCGAGTGTAGTAAACTTCATTGATGTTTTTGGCTTCATGACTCGTTCATAAAATTAAATTCATGATCTACATTCAGTCAGCAATACAAGAAATACTTATTATATATAATTAATATTAATTAGCGACCGGCACTCAAATCGGGCTGGGAAGAACCCTGTATGGTGTAAACAAAGGAGAAAATGAATGATGTAAAATCAGTTGAATATGCACTTTATTCAGATAGTGATTCTTTTCTTGTGGAAATTTAAAAAATATTTACCTCAGAAACCTTCAGCTGCATATATATTCAAAAGGAAGTTTTCATTGACCATAGAATGTATTTGGAATACACATTATCACCGAGTCTCTGTGTATCTCGTAAATCGTGGCTGATTTATGCATAACAATGATCTCTTATTATATTCAACATACTTCAAATTAATCATTTTCATAAATATATTTTTATACGTACAATTGTTATTTCAGCTGGTGCAGAACAATAAATTATAAAATATATTTTTTGTGTTTCAGGGAAATTATTGTCCCTAGGTCACATCGACCATCGCTTTGCTTGTGTTCGATCATTTAAAATTCATTTAAAACATTCACGCCTTTTTGAAAATAAATTGTCACTGAATTCAAGTCAATTATATATCTAAAAAACTTTACTGTTAGCGATGAGGTCCTTATTGCCCTTTCCTGTAAGAGTCACTGAGTGGCGTTCCCCATAAGAATATTTCTTTTCAACAAATAATTACTGTCGAGTGTTAGCTTGACCCAACTCAAATTTCTGATTTTACGCAAGATTCAATTTGTTATAGGACTATAAATCGTTGATTCAGATTCTTTTAATTTTAATTTTTTCGCGGATGAAATCAGCTGTTCACACTCGGGCAGGGGAGACAGATGTTGCATACCTATGTTGTCAAATTCTCCTGTTACATTTATACGTGCTTAAATTTCGGCTTTTATTACTGTAAATTATATTATTTTCACTATATTTACTGAAGGAATGAATATAGAGAAATAATTGCAGCTAAAATAAAGCATTTTACAGTATATTAGTCCTATAAATTTTGGTAGGATGATAACTTAGGTCAATATCATTCAAAATGTGTTTTTTTTACCCACATTTTTGGTAAAAATGGTATATCTTTAACAGGGTTGGTTTAATACATTTTATGCATATTCATGGCGTTATATTACGCTATGATTTTTTCATTTTGCAACAATACATGCTTTTTTTCTATTTTTACATAATTTTTTACTATTACTAATTTTTAAGATTTTGTGGTCCAGCTCATAATGTATAGCTGGGGTGCTGTTAAATATAATGAGGTGCTCAGATTTGCCTTGAAATATTTGACTACAATGATCGAACCATGGTCATAGTATGTTAATGGTACATTCTAGTTGTACTTTCATGTATCAAAATAAATAAATTAGTTAATGATATTCATAAAAATACGATTAAATATCTGACTTTATACACCCACCCACTGTTCTGTATTGTGAATCTACTCTGACAGGCCTTTCTACATAGTTCGGTAATTGTATTGTTAGATGAAAAACTGTTATACCGCGATGCGCATATCCCATGATGCTTTGGAGTTCAAGCCAAAAAAACTGTTCCCTTTTTTTTTTGCAAATCTTATGAATATTATGTCTTTTTCATTGTAGCTAAATAAATCTCATAAGTTATATTTCGTTGTTATTCATTGACATTATGCATTTATTTGTACAAATAATGATTTTTTTTCAACGGCTTCTACCTTGTTTGTCAGTGCCTAGTCTTGCCTAGTTTAGCGTAATACTTATGAATCAGCCCTGAGTACATGAACTGTGTTGGGGTACCATAATACGGACAGACAAAATGGAGCGTTTGAGGGAACTCTTGGTGGGGGTCAATTAATTTCATGTTTAGCAATTGTTGTACAACTTGGTGTCAGATGTAAAAGTATAATCTATGATGACATTTTAATATTAATATTATTGTTTTAATCTTAATCAGGTTTACAGTGAATCGGAGGATATTTGTAGTTGGATTTGGATTATTTGGATCGATCCACGGACCAGCTGACTATCAAGTCAATATACAGGTAACGTGTCACTGCTTCATCTATAGATATTGAGTTAACTGAGCAATGGATACTCTTCTCTTGTCAGTTCTCCAGTCTGTTTTTAATTTGCTTACAAACAAACTACATTTTTTCAATGGATCAATCACACATGCTTCATGGAATACTGTAACATATTTTATTTTAATTGGAATTAATCTTTGCTGAAAAGATTTGTTGTGTGTTTTGTGTGGGGTTTATTTTCACTGATTTTTGATGATTGATTGATGATTTAATTTTCCCTGATCATGTACTCAATTCAATTCCAAGCATGAATAAAGCATTTTACAGTAGTTAGTACCGTTAAAATCCTATTATAAACCGCGGTTTATATTACAATGATCAACAGCTCAAGTTCGGGGTGCGGTTTCTATTACGTACATATTGCAATCACTAAATGGGCGTGGTCATTTTTTCCCACATCACTTGCACAAAACAAACAATACACCGTACAACCTTTTGAATACCGTACCTCCAATTTAGTTGTCA